TAACAAATATCGTAAAGTTCTCCAAAACTGCTATTAAAGAAATGCACTCATACAAACCCAACATTCTTTTGAAAAGTAATCCCTTACTGAATTTCCAAACCAGTACTAGTACAAACAAATGTATTTTTCAATAGTTAAAGTCTGACATACACAATGGGCTTAAAGGGACACTATAGGCACCAAAACCACTTAAGTTTAATGGAGCGATTTTGGTATATAGATAGTGTCTCTGCAGTCTCACTTGTAAATGATATGCTATTTAGGAATTAAATCACTTTGTTTATGCAGCCCTAGCTACACCTCACTGCATGTGATTTGCACAGCTTTCCTATTCACTGCTTGTAAAGAGAGATCTAATGATCTTCCCTTATTGCACATTCTGATTAATTGAGGTTCTCTCCTGCCATGTTAATAGCTCTTTAGACCCAACAGGAGCCTCTTGTGTGTGATTAAAGTTTAATTTACAGAGCAGGAGATAAAAGCTTTAAAGTAAATAACTTCTGATTAAAAATGAAACCAGTTTACATGTAGGCTGTATAAGCCACAGCCATTGGAGGTATGGCTGAAACAGAAAACCAAAGTGATTAAACTCCTAAATGTCAGAATTGAGCAGTGAGACTACAGGGACATTACCTATACACCCAAACTGCTTCGTTAAGCTAAAGTTGTCTTGATGCCTATAGTGTCCCTTTAATGACAGTGCAGCGTTATTAACAGATTGATAATGTTTCCTTACTTCTGGACAAATTGTGAGACATTTTCTAAAGAGTTTCCAATTCAAATTTCATGGCCAATTTCACTGTCAGTACTGCCACCGAAATCAAAACATGACTAAATTGTGATTTGCTTGTTCAACTCTATTATAGGAAAGCACTTCCCCAGGAAGTACCTCTACTAGCCGTTTGAGGAGTGGCCAGTGGAGGTATTCCTAGGCTGTAATGTTTTCTCTGAATAAAACTGTGTTTACTGCAAAAAGCCAGAGGGGAATGATTATACTCACCAGAACGAATATCCTAAGCTGTAGTTGTTCTGGTGACTATAGTGTCCCTTTAACAAATAGAACGGAGCTTACTCCATAAAGTCTTGTTGGTTCTCACAGCCATTGGTAGTAGTAGCAGTGAGAATCCGGCATGGTCATGTTCATAGCCAGACAATTGCCATGGAGGCTGCAGTGGGAGAGCGAGAGGACAGTACTGATGTTGGCTTTTGGTAGACGTAGATCCAGAAGCTAAAGAAAGAATATGGATAAAAGTTTCAATTAAGTTTAACCTGTCTCTAATGCATGCACAGGCAATCACTACCCAAGTAGGTGTAAAATGTGGAAATGCTCCTAACAGGGACAGCTGCATGAACACTGCTTATTTGCCCTTTAATTGGTATAATTTTAAAAAGCATGACAATCACTCCTTGTACAGTCACTTACATTTTAAATATTTTTACCTAATTTGAATTTTATTTTTGATTTCTCACTTTAATTAATAAAACTGTACAATGTAAAATACAGGGAAGAAAACAATAACAATTAAGTGTGTGTGTGTGTGTGTAATATATATATTATATTTAAAATTTTGTTTTTGGCCTGTATTTTTGCATTGCTTTACTGTGTAAGTTCTAATGTTCTATTTGCCCACAGCTGCATTATATTATTGTCACTGTATTAGTTGGGACAAAGAACACTAAATTGTACTTTCTGTACGTTCAGGAGAAAGACGCTATGTTACGTGAACACTGATGTAACCTAGTCTATTTAATTTATCATAGGGAGATTAAACCCTAAAAAGAATATCCCAAAAATCCAATTAATGACACTATTGGGGTAATAGGTGTTTCTCAAAAAAAATTAACCTAACTATACATACTTGTTCTGGTAAACACCCAGTAAACTGAAAGAGTTAAACTTAAAGGGATACTGTGGGCACCCAGACCACTTCATATCATTGAAGAGTTCTGCTTGCAGTGTTCCTCTCCTCTTAGCCCCAAAATGTAAAACATTGAAGTTTTAAAGAAACTGAGATGTTTAGATTGAAGGGTTAAGTCTGCCTCTAGTGACTGTCTATCACGCTCTGCATGAAAGCGTCCAGCATCTTTAAAATCCTTATTGAAACGCATTGATTCAGTGCTTTCTTATGGGGAAGGTCTAATGCGAAAACGAAGCAATCTCTAATCTAGAATCACCGGCTGAGGAAGCCGGACAATAGTTTTAGGGCGGAATGAGACTATAGCCTTAGCAATACAGTTTTGCATTCCTAACACTATTTTGTTTCTTTAAAACTTGAAACTTATTATTTTAACCTTTCAGACTTTTTTGTGTTTTGCTACTTGCAAAACTGTTATCTGCAAAACATTAGTTGGGAATACATGTTTGTCTTTCTAATGCTAGTGTTCCTTTAGGTAAAGTCATCACAAATGCAGAACCATGCTTGTGCTGTGAATTATTTATAGAGGTAAAGGGCAGGCTAAGCACAGTGCTCTTCTTTTGGTTATGCTGCAATCCCACGATATGTCATGCCTGTTTTGTTTTGTTTGAGGAAAAACTCATTATTACTTTTAGTATGTTTTCTTTCAAAAGGTAATGAAACATTAAATAAAAAAAGTTTTTTTGAGGTGAATTTGGTCACTTGGGCCCTTTAATCAGTGTTTTGTACCGTAAATGGGAATTACAAAGCATCAAGTGTCTTTATCCACACAGTTGTTGGACGTAGATCATTGAATTTTCATATTTTTAAATATTCTTTGTTTTTAAAGGGACACTATAGTCAACAGACCAACTACAGCTTATTGAATTTGTTCTGGTGAGTAGAATCATTACCTTCAGGCTTTTTGCTGTAAACACTGTCTTTTCAGAGAAAATGCAGTGTTTACATTACAGCCTAGTGATAACTTCACTGGCCACTCCCCAGATGGCTGTTAGAGATCCTTCCTGGGTCATGGCTGCCTAAAATGCATCCAAACATTCAGTATCTCCATCCTCTGCATGCAGATACTGAACTTTCCTCATAGAGATGCATTGATTCAATTAATCTCTATGAGGAGATGCTGATTGGCCATGGCTGTGTTTGAATTGCCTCCCTGATCTGCCTCCTTGTCAGTCTCTGCCAATCCTATGGTGAAGCATTGTGATTGGCTCAGGCCACTACTTCTGATGATGTCAGAAGGCAGTGGGCAGGTCAAAAGGAAAGAGGGACAAAACAATCCGCTCCAGACTTGAATATAAGTAAGATTTTACTATATTTAAGGAGGCAAGAGGGGGTTAGCGGGGCTAGATGGTGGTTTTAATACATGTTTGTGTTTCTGACCCTATAGTGTTCCTTTAATTTTTAATGTAATCCGCTACCACGACTCTACTATAAATAGCCTTTGCCCACAGTTCTTACAATGCAGCTTTTGTGTTTCTGTTCATTGCCTCCTAATTATGCAAAATGTTGTGAAAACATCAGCATCTCCTCATAGAGATGCATTGAATTAATGCAAATCTGAGAAACGTTGAACTTCTCTGTGCAGCACTGAACCAGGAAGCATCTCTAGCGGCTGTCTGAGTGAAAAGGCAGTGTTTACATTAAAACGTCTGCTAGAGAAAAAGTTTTACTCCACTATTTTGCTGAAGCGCCCTTAGTAGCTGTCATATTGACAGCTAGTAGAGGCTATTAAAACCTGCAAAGAAAACATTGTCATGCCAGCATAATAGCAATGTTTTATTGGGTTAAAACATGGCAAGTTTTCAGGGTTCCTATACTGTTTCTGTAAGCTATTGACTGACATTTTTGGCTGTACGATCTTTATAGGAAATGTAGTTCACAGAGTTTTTGACCGTTTGTTGTGATTGAGAACGGATTTAAGTACTCCACTTACTTATGTTAAGTTTCCAGTAGGATTTAAATAGCAGATGTTTAAAACAAATATTGTTTCTTTTTTTTTTTTCTTCTTTACAAGTACTGCACTCTATACCTTAAAAAGCCTGTGTCTGTACTCTTTGTAAATTGTTGTCTGTGTCTATTTAGGAGGATGAGTGTGCAGGATGTACAGACGGCACTTTTAAAGGATCAAGACATTTCACATGCGCCCCAAAGAAAGCACTTTTTGTAAAGTTGAAGAGTTGCCGGCCAGACTCCAGATTTGCATCTCTTCAGCCTGTGTCTAACCAGATTGAGCGATGCAACTCTCTAGGTAATTCTAGTTCTTGCTAAAGATATTCTATGAAATCACCCCGCTTTCTTGTAGCTAACATATACAGGGTGTTAAAACTATATATGTTATTGCTTTAAGAAGAACACGTTTATTCAATGGCTTTTATCAAATAGTTTATTCACTAAATATTGAATTTGAAACTGAATTACAAAATCTAGGCTCAAATAACTGATCTGGAAAAAATCTGCTGTAGTCTTTGCTTGGCTCTTTGGCCGCTAGTTATGCAATTCAGTTTTCAAGTTACCGTGATTCACTGTTTAGTGAATGAACCCCAACATGATTTTAATTTCCCTAGAATTAACGAATGTACACTTTACCTTAATCTTTATAAACACGTTTGCCTTGAAAAGTGCAGATTTTTACAGTAGATTGTCATTGTTTTAGGATTTTACATATTCCAAAAATGTTTATGCTAAAGTGAATTATTTGTTGTGCAGCCTTCGGAGGATATTTGAGTGAAGTAGTAGAAGGGAACACCCCTCCAAGAAGTGAAAAAGAAGGACTTGAAGTCATGATAGGGAAGAAGAAGGGCATTCAGGGACACTACAACTCCTGCTATCTTGATTCAACGTTATTCTGGTAATACGGGGGAAAAAGCACTAATGCACTAGACACAAAAAAAATATCGAATTTATTACTTTTTTTTTTTTCATCTTTCCCTACAGCCTATTTTCCTTCAGCTCCGTCCTGGACTCTGTCCTGTTAAGGCCGAAAGAGAAAACTGATGTAGAATATTACAGTGAAACACAAGCACTACTAAGGACGGAGATTGTGAATCCTCTTAGAATGTAAGAAAAATAGAAATCTGTCATTTTAAGAGGAGTATCTCATAACCATTGTAAATGCTGTTCCAGTGTTGCTGGGCTGATATGGGTGGTTTTAGTGGGCAGGATCATGAGGGCATTGGCACAAAATTCAAAATCAAAAGCCTTTTGATGCCGATACTGTATTCTCTTTGTTACATTGGAGCTTACATATACACCCTCACAATGCAAATACATGCAGCGGAGTGAAATATTTTTCTTTAAACTCACATTTGTTGTTAGATGCAAATATCAGTATTTAGGGCGAAATAGTTGATATGGAAACATTCTCCAATTTGGTTATAGTCACACGTAGGCTATTTTAAGCTTAATTTCGGTTTTCAATCCACTTCAATATTTAGTGAAACATGGAAACTAGATGGGTAAGTGCTATTGAAATCGTCGAAGTATTTATGATAGTTGTAGTGTTCAAAATATGTAAATGTCACTCTGATGCTCCAATTTCTATATGTTAAAAATTTAAATAAAATTTATTTCTATTTTATTGAGTTAAAAACCATTGAGACCAGAAATAAAACCAAGAATTTGTGTAAATCTTTAGGATAAATTGGTGGAGTTGGACTTGTTAACAACATTAGGCATCAACTTAAACTTATATTTATTTAAAAAGAAAATATAATAACGTATGTTTGTACTCAAAACTGGCTGCTGGATATAAATATATAATGAAAGTAGTAGTAGTAGTAGTAGATAAACTAACATTATGACCTTGTTAATGTATTAAAATCACTGTCATGGGCACAATGATTAGCAGCGTCATGAGCCCCAGTCAGTATTCTAAATACAAATCGAACCAGGATTAAAACCCATAACAGCTTTTTGTGGACTTGATAAGTATTGCTCTACTGGCAACAGAGGTCCATCCTTTGAGACTTGTGAAAGGGAAGCTCTGTTTAGAGCAGGGTTGGGAACTACATTTCCTTAATGCTCTTACAGCTGTGATGCTGGTAAAGCATCAAGGGAGATATAGTCCACAACATCTAAAGTGTCAAAGATTGCCTATCCTTGATTTAGAGAATCAAAAGCCAGGGTTTTTTATGTTTTACATACAATATCAAACATAATAAGTACATTCAAGAAGCTCTGGATGCATCTAATATAATGCTTCCAAATGGAGAGGGTAATGCACACACATTTATATAAGGAATACTCCCATCAGGGTGCTCAAAACAGTGAGGGTCAGGTTCCTAGAAGAATCAAGTAGTAATAGTTTTACGTATCTGATGGTTTCTATAAGAAAGCTTGACAAAGGCTCATGTAGTAGATGAATCGGAGTCTTTACTTTTGTACTTTGTACTCATAATAAAGACTGCTTTCTGAAAGTAACTATCAGGTGTGCCCAGATATTTATACCTATTACCATTGGATTATTTTAGAATGCTTGTCATAAGTGACAGGAAAGAGATATTTCCTCTATTTGCTAATGGTGTTGTTTGTGTGTAGGCTTTGGTGCCATTTATATAGTTCGAATCACTGACGTGTTTAATCACTAAAGCGTAAATTATTTTAAATAGTAAACCAAATTGAAAATTCAGACTAGCTTATCTGCATATTTCTTGTAGCTGATTTGATTACGTTTTAAATGCACTACATGTGCGTTTTAATGAATAAACTCTTTTTGGCATTGTATAGAATTTTATTCCAAAAAGATGATTTATTATTTAACCTGATCTATTATGGCGTAGTTAATTTGTCGATCACTTTAAATCTGTTATGTTCTTCTTCTGTAGTTTCCTGTTAATTGCATAGTATCTCTTCACTTTTAAGAAAAAAACTTGCACACCGTTAATTAGGTTTTGTACAAAGTATATTAGACCATTATAAATGTGGTTGTGTTACAGTTCCTTTAAATGCCTTGGTATAAAATATTTCCTCTTGTGTATTATTTCCAGATATGGATATGTCTGCGCTACCAAAATTATGAAATTGCGAAAAATTCTGGAAAAAGTAGAGGCTGCGTCAGGATTCACTTCAGAGGAAAAAGGTTTACTTTATCTGTGTACATGATTTCATTTATGGCAATCCTACTTTGTGAATATTTGTTTAGAATTAAAATCAATCATCAATTTTATATACATTAACAAAGCCTTTACTGGGACTGAAAGTCAATTTTATATACATTAACAAAGCCTTTACTGGGACTGAAAGTACCAATCACACTTAACCCCTTAAGGACATATGTCATGATTCCCTTTTATTCCAGAAGTTTGGTCCTTAAGGGGTTAAAGTGAACCTGTTTTGAATAATTTGTTACCTTAAATCGATCCCATAAACCTCGAATACACGAAATATCACAGAGATGCATGGTGTGTTCAGTGCAAAATGTGAAGATTTACTCACTTTTCCTCCGTTTCAGTGCTGCCATCTTCATGGTTCGTGAGTGTTATTCTATGTAACACCCACTTCTGGACCATCCTCCACTCCACCTCTCCACCTTTGATCTTTTGTTATTTGCCCTGCTTGGGACACATCTCCAAACTGGGCAAATCTCTTCAGAGAAATCAGCACGCTGGCTTCGTTGCCAGCATGCCAGGATTGGAACGGAGTGACGTTTCATAACTCTGTTCCTATACTCTCTAGCCAGTGCTAGAAGTGCCGACTATGGAGTTTCCATAGCAACCATTGTGCATGCGCTGTGGTTGCTGTGGGAGGTCTTTTCTGCATTCTGAGGCATTGAATGACAGCTGTTAGAAAAACCTATTTTAAATAGATTGTTGTCCTAATCTATACATTTGCTAGCAAAACTGCCTGTGCAATGTATAGATAAAATCTTAAGCTCAAACTACTTAGTATACATTGTTTGGGGTGTAACAGGTACTCTTAGTCTGAATAAATCTGACTAAATGAACATTCATTTTCTACAGATTTAGGCCTTACAAATTCAGTTAACAGTTGCTAATACCTTGAATTGTTTTTTTTTTTTTCCTGGCCTAGGAATTTTTTTGGGGGGAGAGGGGGGCAAAACAAATCATTGACCTTCAATGTGAAATAATGCTGACTATCCCAAAAGCTTTTTTTCAGAGTTATGAAAGTTTTTGAGGGAACAATTTTAATAACTCAAAAGTATTTTGAATTGGGTAGCTCTTTATTGAACAGATAATGAACTCTCCAAATGCACCATTTTAGAGTTGTATAAAAAAAAGTTTAGAGGAGACAATGTAGGCACTGTAACTGCTTTTTTTTATAGTACATTTTGTCCCAGTCCTGCCCTTTTGAGAACTTTTAACTATTTTTTTTCCTTCGTAAAAAAATGCATTAATTTTTTTTTTTTTTTAAACTTTTTTTTTTTTTATTAAGAACCAATTAAGGCATATTTATGTCAAAGAAGTGGTCTGGGTGCAGTGTTCTTTTCAGTATGACCATTCAAGCTCTTGTGCAGAAACTGCAAAGATTACATGTAAGGGTTAAAATCACCTCCAGTGACTGTTACACTGACAGCCACTAGAGGACGTTCCACTGCACTGTCTGAAAAAAACTGTCACGTGACGTGGAAGGCCCCATAATCCAGTATTTATTCAGTGCTGTCCTATGGGAAGATTGGAGGCACGTGGCAGTGAGGGACATTGGATTGGAACACCTGTGGAGGCCATGTCTCCTCCGTGACATCAAAAGAGGCAGAGAGGTATGTAGCGCTGAGGTAGCCTTGGCAATAGAAAAAGGTTATTTAAACTTTTATTGTGTACATTTTTATGTGACACAAGAGGAGAGGGTGGGGAGTGGGGAGGTGGCACCAATATAACAGGGAACAGAGATGAAAGGTTTGTATTCCTAATGCTTTAGTGTTTTTTTTAAATGTTTCTTTTTAACAGTACTTTTCTTTCCTGGTTTTCTTTTTTTTTTTCTCTCTCATTTGCTTACTTAAATTGTGTAATTTGAAAGATGTTAGGTTTACCATTTTTTTTTTTTCCTCTTCTCCTCTTAAACAGACCCAGAAGAATTTCTGAACATATTATTCCATCACATACTACGAGTGGATCCTCTGTTAAAAATAAGGTATAATTTTCATTCAGAAGTGACTGTTTGGGCATGACACATTCTAGAATAGACCTTTTTCTAGTGAATGATTGTCGGACCACGCAGAGGTGTCCATTACTCTGGGATCCTTTGCGTGGTGTCCCCATGGACATGGAAATTTAATACATCCTTACTACGCGACTCAGAGGTCACGGAGCAGATCCGTGCTGAGATATTAGAGTTCTTTACCACAAACGACACCCCTGAACTGAGGGCAAGTACCATATGGTCGGCCCACAAGACAATAGTGAGGGGATGTCTCGTTCGACTAGGAAGAAAGTCCCAAACGCTAGAAAGCTTAGAACACTAGAACAAAAGCATCAAACGCACCCCTAGGCAGCTACTTTTAGTCTATTGGATGCAGTGAGACACTCCATACGAGCGAGAGAACGAGAGGAGGACCAAGTGCACAGATTCTTGAATGACTTGGGACTGCCCAAATTACCACAAAAGGTTCCGAAATCACAGGCGTGGAGATATACCTGGCTATTACCGGACTGAAAGGGAATAAGTCTCATGGTCCAGATGGGTCCGAGGGGACCAACTATAAAAAAGTTTGGATTCCAATATTGTTGAATGGGTAAGGCAGTGGCTGAGTGACAGGCAACAGAGGGTTGTAGTCAATGGAGTATATTCGAAGCATGGGCTTGTCACCAGTGGGGACGAGCCCATGCTACTTGGACCCATTCTCTTCAATATTTTTATTAGTGATATTGCAGAAGGTCTTGATGGTAAGGCATGTCTTTTTGCTGAAGATACTAAGATATGTAACAGGGTTAGTGTTCCAGGAGGGATAAGCCAAATGGCAAATGATTTAGGTAAACTGCGAAAATGGTCAGAGTTGCGGCAGCTGACATTTAATGTGGATAAGTGCAAGATAATGCATCTTGGACGTAAAACCCAAGGGCAGAGTACAGAATATTCTGAGGAAAGGGATTCAGGGTGATTATTTCTAATGACTTAAAGGTAGGCAGAAATTGTAATAGAGCAGCAGGAAATGTTAGCGGAATGCTTGGCTGTATAGGGAGAGGTATTAGCAGTAGAAAGAGGGAAGTGCTCATGCCATTGTACAGAACACTGGTGAGACCTCACTCTGAGTATTGTACACCGGACCACGACATGTCCTTAGCTACCATAGTATTATTACCAAAGCCAGACAGAGACGTGCTACTGCCCAAAAACTACAGACCTGTATCACTCATAAACCACGATATGAAGATCCTTGCAAAGATTCAGGCAGGCAGACTCAACCTGTCCTGATCGGTGCCAATCAAGTTGGCTTCATACCAGGCAGGTAATTGTTTGAAAATACCCATAGAAAACTAGATCTTATATGGAAACAGGTGGCCACACATTTGCTTACATTGGTCGTTTATATTGATGCTGAAAAGGCCTATGATAGTGTCAAGTGACCATACCGGTTTACCTTTTTGACACACTTAGGGTTCCCAGAGGAATATGTCACACTAATAAAGGCCATGTATAGTAACGTACAGGCACAAGTACAGATCTAAAGTTTACAACTTTACAACTGCCCTAGACAGGGATGTCCGCTGTCCCCCCTATTATTCGTAATCTCATTAGAACCCCTTCTACAGGCGCTGAGACGATATCCAAACATAAATGGGGTCCAACTAGGAGGTAGGGAATTTCTAGTGTCTGCATATGCGGATGATGTGCTCTTGACGTTCACAAGCCCGGTGTAATCTATGGCTGCTTTACGGGTGATTCTACAGGATTATGGGGAAATGTTGAGATACAAGAAAAACATGACTAAATCTAGTGCCTTGCCGGTGGGAATAGCGATGGTGGACACGACACTAATGCGAGACACAAATAACATACGCGTAGAAAACCGCTCTTTCAGATACTTAGGGATTCACATAACAGCAGACTCGGAAAAATATCACCATAACTACATATCCTTCATGAAAACACTGACATGAAAAAGTGGACTGATAAACCCATATCGTGGATAGGACGGATTCATTCAGTAAAAATCAACGTTCTGCCAAAAATCCTTTTCCTGTTCAAGGTGCTACCTATACATCTTACTGAGGCACACCTAATACCCTTACAACAAGCCATAGGTACAAAATAAACGACACAGAATATCCAGATAGGTTATTGTACTGACCGAAAACGCGGGGCAGACTGGGCCTTTCCAATTTGTATTTCTATTATTTAGCCGCTTGATTTACGCAAGTAGCGATGTGGCAATCTCCACCAGACGATAGGAAATGGGTGGAAATAGTCACTCATGGTGGGAGCAGACTTGCCTCAATTCTTACAAGGAACATAGACCCTTGCTTCGAGTAACATGCCTGGAAATTCTCAACTCTCTGAGAATCTGGGACTCGTCAAAGCAAAAGTATGGGTTGGCATCACATGCCTTAACTCCGCAACACAGCATTTCTACGAGGCATGACTGCTAGGTGCTTCTGAAACCTAGAGCAGGCAGGCCTTCATAGGATATGTCATTTATTTCAGGGTACCGAGGTCATTACTTTCAATGAATTTAAAACGGAGGCATATTACCTGCCGATGTCTTTAGGCATCTTCAGATCAGAGATCTTGTTAAACAACCCCACATAAAAATAGCAGCACACAAACCAATGACGTTCTTCGAAAGTATATGCTTATCCGATATTATGCCTAAAGGATTGATAACGCTGCTTTACGCCCACCTCTGCTCTGAAAAATTGCGAAGGGGGTAGACTGACATACACTGACCAGTGGGAACAAGATCTAGGCGAGAAACTAGAAGTAATTGAGTGGCAGGAGATATGGGAAGCTTGCAATAACACTTCTGTGTGCATCACCCTTCAGGATCAATTTTTTAAAATGATGTTCCGTTGGTACATAACTCCGGTAACGTTGTTTAGAATGAACAAATCCCCAACTGACGTTTGCTGGAGGGGATGCGGATCGAAGGGGACATGTGGTGGGAATGCCCACTTACTATAAGATTCTGGAAATTGGTTTAGAATTTGTTAGATCAGATGTTCTATATGGCCCCAGAACTGCAACCATTGGTATATCTACTAAATAGATCCATAGACAGCTGGACAAAAGCTTATACATACAAGGGCAGTAGCATCCTCTTGGCTGAAACAGGGGAGCCCGAATTTTGCGGGAGTGATAACCAGAATCAGAGAGTCACCTGATGGATGATCTGACCGCTAGAGTGAGGGGAACCACTAAAGCATTTAAAAATAAAAATTGGGAGAATTGGGAGAATAGTCCTTTGGGAACTCAATGAGGACAGGTTGGATGGGCTGCTTGACTACACTTGTGGCTCTTATACACTTCTGATGCCAACCCGATACCAACCTGTCCCCATGGACAGGCAGTCCTCCACTCTGGCACCCCCCTCCCCCCTCTCCTGTCCATCGTATACACCTGACCAGGCTCATCAAGCTCTGTCTCCCACTTCTCCCTCCCCCCCCTTTTTTTTTTCTATACTTTCTCTGTCCTATCTTACTATCTACCTTTATCTTAAAGGACCACTATAGTGCCAGGAAAACATAGTCGTTTTCCTGGCACTATAGTGCCCTGAGGGTGCCCCCACCCTCAGGGTCCCACTCCCGCCGGGCTGGATGGCAAGGAAAGGGGTTAAACTTACCTTTTTTCCAGCGCCGGATGGAGAGCTCTCCTCCTCCTCTCCGCCTCTTCGGTTGAATGCACACGCGCGGCAGGAGCTGCGTGCGCATTCAGCCAGTCTCATAGGAAAGCATTCATAATGCTTTCTTATGGACGCTTGCGTCTTCTCACTGTGATTTTCACAGTGAGAAGCACGCAAACGCCTCTAGCGGCTGTCAATGAGACAGCCACTAGAGGCTTTAGAGGCTGGATTAACCCATTTATAAACATAGCAGTTTCTCTGAAACTGCTATGTTTTTATTAAAAAAAATAGTTAATCCTAGAGGGACCTGGCACCCAGACCACTTCATTAAGCTGAAGTGGTCTTGGTGCCTAGAGTGGTCCTTTAAGAGAATAAATATTATAAAAACAATGACTACCAATTTGCAAACTTTAAGTGCAATTGCAACAAATAGATGTTCACTGTCCTCATACTGGCGAATAATTTGGAATACAAGAATATCTGATAATAAGTGGAATGTATGGTGTTGTACCATTACTATTGTACGTTTTCACGTGTCAAAAAAAAAAAAAAAGACTGTTTCGGAGTGCAGTGTACATTAAACGGTTTCTGAAGCAAGCAGTATGGCAAAAGAATCCTAGTTTTCATATGGTTATTTACTTACCCATGAATTGTTTGAAAGGCACCACAGAATCCTGAATTTTAGGACAAAATAGCCAAAACGGAAGAAAATCTCCAAGCTAACTATATATCTATCCAGACTATTTTGGCTTTAAATTTGTAATTCTTTGCTAAATTCCTGACAGTGCTTCATCACACTTTATGAATAATGCCAGATTTACTCTTTAACTAGGATTGTATGCAGAAATGGCATTATGGAGTAAAAAGAGCCTTTGGACTCTCCAGTACCCAGTTTTTCCTCTGTACTACTGCCATTGCCTGACCATAGTAATGCCCTTTTCAAATACTACTGGTTTTGGTAATATAGTAATAAAATGTGTCAAGTGTATAATTCTGTGGGCTTACAGAGACCCAGCTGTGTGCTGGCCTACGGTGCATAATAACAAATTTGTTTATTTTTAAGAATTATTTAATTTCTCTGTGATTCATAATGTGTTACCTTTTAGATCAGCTGGCCAGAAAGTGCAAGATTGCTATTTCTATCAGATCTTCATGGATAAAAATGAAAATGTTGGGGTCCCGACCATCCAGCAACTCCTCGAGTGGTCATTTATCAACAGTAGCTTAAAGTTTGCTGAGGTTTGTTAATAAAACTATATTTATAGAGGTGAAATTACTGAAAAACAACTGATAAACTGTTCAATTATACATGTGATATATATGCTTAAAGCAGTTCACTCACCCTAACATGGCATGACCTCTTGATGTGTGGTGGCCCAAGAGAGCTGCTAATGGGGGTGTACTCCCCTTAAGCTCTCCGCAGGTCCCACCCTACTTTATTATGTGTATTTTAACTACATTAGTATTTCAATGAAATTGAAATTAGTATTTAAAGATGTTATCTTTATTAGATAATCAAAAGTGACAGAACTGCCTTAAACTGTCATGCACTATAAATTAAATTTAATCTATCACTGCTTGTATATAGTTAGAAAACATACATTTTCATTTTACACTCTCCAGTGAGTTTAATCTGCCTAGAGCAATATGTGATCTTTTCTTGTGAACTCTGTGCTAATACATCCTTAAGATCCAGTTAAATTTGCAATATCCTCAGGCAGCCACTTAGTAGTATGCATAAGCGTGCCATTTGACAGCTTTGTCCTAAAGTCAGTTGTTAATTATCCCTAACAAGCAAATCTGGATGTTTTCCAGACTTCCCCTGTGTGTTCTTGGTATAACAGCTCAGTGCTGGGTCCATGCCATTGCTTTGTTCTCGGAACTGGGAAAAAGTTGTGTTTAATTCTGCCCATAATCATTCTTTATTTTTATATTAACTCCTTGGTGGAAGTACACATTACATCTCCTCTTTAGTTGCCACCAGAAAATGTACAGGGCACACCCACCATTTAAATGTCCCTTCAAATATGGCCTGCAACACCCAATACCCTGCATTATAGGTATTGCAGGCCTGTCTGAAGCAATGGTGAATGCACTCCTTATCTTCTGGATGCTATTCATAAGCCCTGAACTATATGTTTATAGTACAGAGTTATGTCATTTACCGTTGAGGACCAGAGCTAGAGCAGGTGTGGGACCGCGTCTTTGTCATAATTTAATTTTGCTTGGCAATGCCAACAAGAAGTACGCACAATATTGACAGGGTAAAAAATAAATTAAAGCACTGAAGTGTCCGTGCCTTTATTGGAGAGATTAAATCAACTCCAGTTGTATGCAAGGATGAAGTTAATAGTTACCGTGCAGGCTGCGTATTTAGTAAAGGTTCTATAAAGTGCATAGTTCGTGAGAGTGATTCTGTAATAAAGAAGTGGAAAAATTAAACTAAAACCAGGGATATGGTGTTTTTGACAATTCTTATCTGATATGGAGCTGGTCAGCCATCTATTTGCATTCAGAGCTTTTGTTATTGATGCACAAACTCCCTGGTAGTAAAAATTGAGCTACTGAGTTGATCTACAGGCATCATTGGTAAGATGTAGAAGAAAATAGGTGGTAAATCCTGTATTTTTTTTATCTTCCAGGTAAAAAGCAAGTTTATTTCCTTTGTTTTGGCAAATCAAATTATGTTAATTAATGTGCAAAGTCTTTATCTAATTTTGTCCCTCAGGCTCCGTCTTGTTTAATAATCCAGATGCCTCGATTTGGGAAAGACTTCAAAATGTTTAACAAGATATTTCCTTCTTTGGATCTGAACATTACAGATTTGCTTGAAGACAGTAAGTATAGCTTCCATACAGATGCTTTTTGTACTGTATTTGTCTTACAAGATACATTTCTTTTCTTTCTTTGAAGAGAGATATTTACTTACGTTCAGAAGCTCCATGAGACATGGGGTTTCCCTATCATGGAGAGAACATACTATTGCTGTATAATAAGATAAATTTGCTCAGGCATTTTATGGTTGTGGCAAAATAGCATAGCCATTAAATGCCCATGCAGTGCACAGTAATTGAGAGCCCATCCCTACCAGCATGGCGTGTCCTGATTGTTTAGGTTTTGGCAGCTGTATGCAGCGCTACATTCATTAATCCATAGGGTCATTTGGTTTGGATTAGGATTCTTAAAGGGGCTTGCATAACCTGACAGTAATTTTTAAAACCAGCAAGCAAACACTTTTTTTTTTAATTGTGCAAAAAGTGACAAAAAGTGAGCATAGCCACGATAGCATCTGCAGGCATTTTTCATTACATTTCAAAGTGTGGCAGTTGAAACGGCATAATTTTATTTTTAATAACATGAGGATAACAGGCTTTTAAACATCAGTGGTTTATATATTAGCATGCTAGACTAAACGTGTATATATAACAAGGCTAGTTGCGCTGAGGCTTTTAAATATTTAGCATTGCATTGATAAACTAACCATAAAAGTGTACATTCAGCGGTTTGTGAAGCAAGCAGTATGTTTCAGAATGGCAAAATAATCCTAGTTTTCATATGGTTATTTACTTAACCATGAATTGTTTGAAAGGCACCACAGAATCCTGAATTTTAGGACAAAATAGCCAAAACGGAAAAAAATCTCCAAGCTAACTATATTTCTAACCAGACTATTTTGGCTTTAAATTCGTAATTCTTTACAGAGTGTGGTTACACATTGTTGACTACAGGGAAATACCAGCAGTTTCGCCATTAGTTTGTATAAGCTTAAGTTGCCAATTAGTGATGACTGGCTAATAAAATATTGCATGTGCTATTAGAGTGGAGACAAGTTAGGCACTACAGTAGTAAACTCTGCGAGAGGTGAAAGACATTTTAAGAACTGTTACTCTATGCTTAACTAACGGTCAGAGATAAGTTCCTGTGATATAATGCATAATGTGAAAGTCCAGCTATAACGAGACATGCCTGACAGGCTCCCGTCTCCAGCCTGTGCTCATCCGATCTCTTCCGGTCGCCGGATGCAGTCCCCGGGAGCCCCTGTCTCCTGAGACTTCCGAGGTGTGGATGTGACTAAGTGCCAGGTATCTGAGTGGTAAAGTTGTGCTTTATCAGTTGATCGGCGTTGTCCTGGTGGGCATGGTGCCTCTGGTCTGCTGTGGGGTTGTTGCGGCTTACAGTGGGGTGAGTGCTTGTTATGGTGAAGGCTCTACGTTTCTGCTAGTCCCGCTGGTCCTGTTTTCGGTGTCTCTTTGGAGGGTCTCTGGTGGCTATCATTCTGCGTCCGCTCTTGGGGCCCGGGAGTGCCGGTGGTGTGAGTGCAAGAGTGGTACGTTTAGCTTTAGCCGGGCTCAGTGCCCTCTCCGCAATCCTGGCCCAGAAGGCAGCAAAAATTTCATCTAGCTTAGTCAGGGTGTCTTTTGGTGATTTTCCACTTGTCTCCATGTTTGCCGACTGGTGTGTGGTATCCGCCATTTTGGAGTTAGGGGACTCGTGGTGATTGCAGTCAGTGGTGGGTATGCTACTGGTGCTGGGATATCCACCATCGGCAGGGGGGGAGGGGAGAAGGAAGGCTCGTGGGTGGTCCTCCGCAGTTTTTGAGTTTGCTTTCAGGGGGTTCCGGGCCGGGCAATCGGCCGCCTCACCCAGGCCCTCACCACCGTCCAGGCCGCTATTCAGGCTAGTCGTCGTTGTGATAGGCCCCATCAGTGCAGCCCGCGTTCCTGGCGCCTCAGAGTTTCAAGAGTGACCTCTGTATGCTCTCCCTTGAAGCCCCTACGTGGGTGCTGCAATTTTAAACAAGTTATTTCGAGTAAAATAGGGTTTCAGACGGGAGCTCGTGCTGCACACGTCTGATCAGCTCCCCAGCCAGGCTCCGCCCCCGTAAGGAAACACTTTTTACACAAACCATAGTAGAGCAAGAAAGGTATGTAATTAACATTTAGAAACTTACTATAAACTTGGTAAGATTTCATTATTGGGTATGCTTCTCAGCTAGTGTAGTTTCTTCAGCCCCCCTTATGTACCATCTCAGACCAGTCCACAAATGACAGAAACAGGACATCATTGTGCAGCAGCACGACAAGGAAAACATATACCGGAGCCTGCTGTACATGATCACGCTGATCAAACTCGCTCTCTTCAACCCCTGCCAAGATGTTGCAAAGTGAAGAGATCTTCCAACTGCACATGTGTAAACCTATCAAGCATGCTCAATGCACTTTTCCAGCATTCCTAGGAATAGGACACTTGTTAGATCACTGTCCCTTCTGCAGTGAGTGTGGAAAATATAAGTAAGCAGGTAAACACGAAAATAAAATGATTTGCCTGCCAATTTTTAGCTTGCAAAGTGAAAGCTAAAGCCTTAGAATGAGACCGTTGTCTCAGAGTGATGCATGTCCCTTTAACCCCTTAAGGACACATGACGTGTGACATGTCATGATTCCCTTTTATTCCAGAAGTTTGGTCCTTAAGGGGTTAAAGAACAGACCATTATATCATGACTGTTTTTGATCTAGAAGGGGTTAATATGATTCCTGGCAACACCCTGGATCTCTAATTTTGGTATTACTACCTCAACACACCGCTGCATCATTGAGGCAAAATGGAACACAGTGGCATAATTGAGCTTATGGAGCAAAATTATGATCAGTAAACTAAATAAGATGGGGGGGAGGAGGCTTCTAACTGTAACCTAATCTGTACATTGCATCTGGCAGGTAGGCACCTGTAGTGGCCCTTTAAAAAAATTGTCACTTTCTGATAACTTTTAGTTTAATAGTATGCAGAAAACTTTCAAAGGATTTTAGTAAGATTTATAATGCACCATAAACATGTAGATCAGGTAGATATTGTTGAAGTGACTGAAATTGCATTTGGAAGAGCATTCAAGGTATGGAAATGTGTTATTGACCTATTCTATGAATTCAGCATATGATGTGCAGTTTTGGGGAACTTTAAAGATGTTAATGAGAAGAAAACATGAGGCAGCAAAGTAAGAAAAGCCTAAAGAAGCACATTATTTTGTGCTAAGTAGACGTGAGACACTTTATCTTTGGACAATTCCAAGTCTGGTATATGCATTTAGAATTTACATGGAAGGCACATTCTTTGTGTGGACCATGTTACTGTATGCTGCCAATAAACAAGGGTAATTTATTGCCTTGAGATATTATAAATGAAGAAATGTTAAATGCCGTAGGTCAGAGGTGCCCAAAAGGTAGATGCCTCAGATGTTGCAGAACTACAACTCCCATGATGCTTTGCAGGCCTTTGGAATGACAAAGAATAATCGAAGCTGAAGTTTTTAAACATCTGGGGATCTACTTTTTTGGTCACCCCTGCTGTAGGTATTTCTCTGCTGAAAATGCAGGGAGTAAGCAAAATGCTGATCAAACTTTTATTTGATGGGTAAAGAGGTCAAAATAATATGTATTGAAATTAACCACTTATGTAATTTAAATTAATTTAGGACCTATGGCATTTGACATTTCAAATCAGATTTTCCTAACACTGACTTTGAAATGTTTAACTTACATACCTTTGCAAATATGATTTGTTAGAATGTTTGTTACATTTGTTTTAATCATTACCCTTTCCTATTCTTGTATTTTTCCAGCTCCCCGGCAGTGCCGGATCTGTGGAGGACTAGCAATGTATGAATGCAGAGAATGCTACGATGACAGTGATATTTCTGCAGGAAAAATTAAACAGTTTTGTAAAACTTGTAACACGCAGGTATGTGATGTGTACATTGGAGGAATGCCCAGTATAACTAAAAATCATGAACTAAAGAGTTGCTAAACTGTAAAAATAAAAAGGTGTATATGGTATAATGGTGTAAAATTTCTAGTAACTTGATCCAATTAAAGAGGAACTGTTGCTTCTTTGAAATTGTTGCTTCTGTTCCTCATTCCTTCACCCTTGTAATGTTATTGAAGTGTTTCCTACGGTGACTAGTTTATAGAATTAAAGTATAGATCACTATAATAGCACTTTGTATGGGCACTTTCATCATCCTTTGCATCTGTAAGCACTAGGCGCAGTTGGTTCCATCCAAAGTGCTGTATGTGATCATGCGCCTTAACAGTTGCACACATGGCACCATTGGAGTTAAACAGACTTTGTTTGTGTGGCCTTGCTTATTTTTAACCCCTTAAGGACACATGACTGAAATATTCTGTCATGATTCCATTTTATTCCAGAAGTTGTTTCATAAGGGGTTAAACTGTAACATTATGTAGTGTTCATTTAAGATGCATTGATATTAACCCCTTAAGGACGCATGACGGTTCAGGACCGTCCTCGGCATTTTTGCGTTGCCGACCGAGGACGGTCCTGAACCGTCCTAACGGAAAACGGGCGGCGGGAGCGATCAGAGATCGCTTCCGCTGAAATCCCGTTGTTACTATCTGCCCGGCATCCCAGGCAGATAGTAACAGCCAATTGCGGCATGTGAGCGATCCGCGATCGCTCACAATTGGCTGGTGTCAAAGTGGGTGTTACAAACACTCACTTTGACACTGATCTCTGCCTCTCTCCTCTCTGTAGCGTTTTGTGAGAGGAGAGAGACAGAGATCCTGATAGTTTGTTGCAGCAGCTGTTCCTGTGAAAAATAAAAAGTATCTTCAGTTAATTAAAATCCTATTTTAACCCCTTCCCTGCCAGATCTGTTACAGACAGTGCATTTTTACTGTCTGTATTTTTTTTTTTGCCCTTAAGGGTTAACTTTATTTTAAAAAATCTGTGTCTTAGACTGTCTTAGACTGTCTTAGACTGTCTTAGACTGTCTTAGTCTGTTTTAGTCTGTTTTAGTCTGTTTTAGTCTGTTTTAGTCTGTCGTAGTCTGTCGTAGTCTGTCATAGTCTGTCATAGTCTGTCATAGTCGTAGTCAGTCAGTTTCCTTCCCCCAAATCTCCATTAGATTCTTCTAACAGGAGTTAGTTTAGGGATTACTGTTTTAGTCTGTTTTAGTCTGTTTTAGTGTTTTAAAAAAAAAAAAATATTGTGTTTAGTATTTTGTTAGTTTAGTCTGTTGGTGTGAAACATGCAGCGCATGTACAGCTTGGAGGAGGCATATGCCTTCTTGGCGTCAGACTCTGACGCCACTGACACTGCGTCCGATTTTGACCCAGGTCAGTTTAGCGGCACGTCTAGTGACATGTCATCTGTGAGTGAGCCAGCTGCTAAAAGAAGCTGTGCTTCCCCTGCTACGCTGAATGTGGAGGAGGACTGGGTACCTCCACAGTTAGCTGAGCCCAACATCCCCCCTTTTAGTGCCAACGCAGGCATTAATGTGAATGTGGTTGACTTCTCCCCTATACAATATATGGAGTTATTTTTAGGGGATACCATCTGGGAGGAGATTGCTTCCCAGACTAATTTATACGCTAGCCAATTTATTGAGACCAATCCAGGTAGCTATACAGTCAGGGAGCATGCTTGGCATCCCACAGATGTCCCTGAACTTAAAACATTCTGGGCTCTTACCATGCTCATGGGGATAATAAAAAAGCCATCAATCCGGTCTTACTGGAGCACCAACCCAATTTGTTCGACTCCTATATTCTCCCAAACAATGCCTAGACCAAGATATGAGCTGCTGCTCAGATACTTACATTTTAACGACAATACGCTCTGTCACCCCAGAGATCACCCCGAATATGATAGGCTTTATAAAATACGCCCACTGGTAGACCATCTTCAGAACAGATTTTCTGAAGTTTATACTCCCCAACAAACTTTATCCATCGATGAATCCCTTATGAAATACAAAGGGAGATTAGGGTTCAAACAATATATCCCCTCAAAGCGGTCTAGGTATGGCATTAAAGTGTACAAACTTTGCGAGAGCGAAAGTGGCTACACATTTGCCTTCCGTGTATACGAGGGGAAAGATGCTCAACTGAACCCTCCTGGCTGTCCTGACTCTCTGGGGACAACTGGGAAACTTGTTTGGGACCTACTGAACCCTTTGTTCAATAAGGGTTACCACCTTTATGTGGACAATTTTTACAGCAGTGTCCACTTGTTTAAAATTCTTTATGGTTTTCAGATACTGGCCTGCGGCACTGTGAGAAGAAATTCCAAGGATTTCCCCAGACCTCTCATAGAGGCCAAATTAAAAAAAGGGGAATGCAAAGCTCTGCGCAAGGCTGAACTGCTTGCGCTAAAATTTAAGGACAGGAAGGATGTTCACATGATAACAACCATCCATAACGAGGGCATGTCAGACGTCACTGTCCGAGGCAGGGTACAGACAAAACCGGTGTGCATCAGGGCTTATAACAGGCACATGGGGGGTGTTGATTTGGCTGATCAGCTGATGCAGCCTTATCTTATCTTAAGAAAGACAAAAGCCTGGTATAAAAAGGTGGCTATCTACCTGTTGCAAGTAGCAACACATAATTCATTTTTACTTTTTTAAAAAATTAATCCAGGAAGAACCACCTATCTCCAATTTCAGCTCAAGCTGATTTCCACAATAATTTATGGAGATGGTCAAGTTCCAACGACAGTGCAAGAGTCGTCTAGACATTTTATTTTTAAGATACCGCCAACACCAAAAAAAAGAAACCCCCAGAAACGTTGCCGGGTCTGTTATAAAAAAGGGAAAAGGACAGACACCCCTTTTCACTGTCCCGATTGCCATACAAAACCTGGACTGTGCATTGGAGAATGTTTTAAGGTCTACCACACAGAAAATACATTTTTATAATACTTGTTCCTGATTTATTTTTTTTGTTTATTTTGAAAGCAGCAAATTTCTGTTAGTCAGTATCCTTCCCCAAATCTCCAGTTAGATTCTTTTTGCAGGAGTTAGTTTACAGATTGCTGCTAACAGAAGTTTTAGTCTCATTTAGTCTGTTTTTTAACTCTGTGTTAGCCAGACTCTGACGCCACTGACACTGCGTCCGATTTTGACCCAGGTCAGTTTTCTAACATGTCATCTGTGTGTGAGCTGGCTGCAAAAAGAAGCTGTGCTTTCTCTGCTACGCCGAATGTGGAGGAGGAACAGGTTTCTCCACAGTTAGCTGAGCCCCAAATCACCCCTTTTAGTGCCAACACAGGCATTAATGTCAATGTGGATGACTTCTCCTCTATGCAATATATGGAGCTATTTTTAGGGGATACCATGTGGGAGGAGATTGCTCCCCAGACTAATTTATATGCTACCCAATTTATTGATACCAATCCAGATAGCTATGCAGTCAGGGAGGAGTGTGCTTGGCATCCCACAGATGTCGCTGAACTTAAAAAATTCTGGGCTCTTACAATTCTCATGGGGATTATAAAGAAGCCATCAATTTGCTCTTACTGGAGCACCAACCCAATCTGTTCTAGTCGAGTATATTCTCAAACCATGTCTAGAACAAGATTTGAGCTGCTGCTGAGATACTTACATTTCAATGACAATACCCTCTGTCACCGCAGAGATCACACCCAATATGATAGGCTTCATAAAATACACCCACTGGTAGACCATCTTCGGCACAAATTTACTGAAGTTTATACTCCTCAAAAAAATGTATCTATTGATGAATCGTTAATGAAATATAAAGGGAGATTAGGATTCAAACAATACATCCTCTCAAAGCGCTTTAGGTATGGCGTAAAATTCTACAAACTGTGCGAGAGCGAAAGTGGCTATACATTTGCCTTTCGTATATATGAGGGGAAAGATGGTCAACTGGACCCTCCTGGCTGTGCTGACTCTCTGGGGACAAGCGGGAAACTTGTTTTTGACTTACTGATCCCCTTGTTCAATAAGGGTTACCACCTTTATGTGGACAATTTTTATAGCATTGTCCGTTTGTTTCAATCTCTTTAGGTTTTCTAGATACTGGCCTGTGGCAGTGTGAGAAGATATGCCAAGGATTTCCCCAGACCTTTTATAGAGGCCAAAAAAAAAAAAAAAAAGTGAATGTAAAGGTCTGCACAAAGCTAAAGTGCTTGCAATAAAATTTAAGGACAGGAAGGATGTTCACATGCTAACAACCATCCATAACGAGGGCATGTCAGACGTCACTGTCCGAGGCAGGGTACAGACAAAACCGGTGTGCATCAGGGCTTATAACAGGCACATGGGGGGTGTTGATTTGGCTGATCAGCTGATGCAGCCATATCTTATCTTAAGAAAGACAAAAGCCTGGCATAAAAAGGTGGCTATCTACCTGATGCAAGTAGCAACACATAATTAATTTTTACTCTTTAAAAAAAAATGAATTCAGAAAGAACCACCTTTCTCCAATTTTAGTTCAAGCTGATTTCCACAATAATTTATGGAGATGGTCAAGTTCCAACAACGGTGCCAAAGGAGTCCAGACATTTTATTTTTAAGATACTGCCAACTGCAAAAAAAAAACAAATCCCCTGAAATGTTGCTGGGTCTGTTATAAAAAAGGAAAAGGACACTGTTTTTTTTTCTTTTGAAAACAGCAAATTTTAGTTAGTCAGTTTCCTTCCCCCCAAATCTCCAATTAGATTCTTTTTGCAGGAGTTAGTTTAGAGAATGCTGCTAAAGGTGCATTTGATACCTGCACATTTGGTTAAAAAAGTTTTATGGTAGTAACATATAACTGGCTGGCCAAAACCAGATGACGTGTGCATAAAAAGCAGAATTAAAAAATTACCACCATGCACGTTCTCTGAAATTTGTTTAGCACAATGGTTGGGGGAAGGATGTGAAAACACCTCATATACAATACTCTGGAATGTCTACTTTATAAAAATATAAACTTTCATGATGTTAACATTAACGGGGGGATGCAAAAATATGCCAAACTGAAGATAGGCCAAGCATA